CCTCTGGTGCTGGTCCCTCCCCTGCAGGTGTCTGCCCTTCTGCTTCACCTCCTGGCACCTGCACCTTCCCTTACCCCTGCACCCTCCTGGTACCTCCCTCTTCCCTCACTGCCCCTGCCCACTTTGCCCTCTTTTTCCCTGATGCCCACCCCCTCACCACTCTCTGCCCCTGTTTCCCTCATGCCCCTGTGCCCTCACACATGCCTTGCTCCATCCCCACCTTCCTCATGCCCACCCCTTCTTTCAAGCCTTATCCCAGCACCTCCCCCTCCCCCTTACCCTTTGCCCTTACCCTTTGCCCTTACCCTTTCAGCTCTCAGCAATCACTCTGTCCCCCCTCCCACTGACACCTCCCCTCCTGCCCTTTTCCTCATTGTCTCCACTTGGCCCCCTGGCATTTCTCTTCTCCACGCTGTCCCTTGGTGCCTTCCCCTTTCTTCTCCTGACCTGCTCCCCTCCCCTTCCCTCAGCACAAGCCCCTTCCTCTCCCACCCCTTCCCCTATTTTTCCCGCACGCCCACTCCCTGCCTTCCAGTTTCAGTCTGTGATTGGGCCCAGCCCCAGCTACTTCCGTAGCCCCCAGACCACATGCTGGGCCTGGAACTGGGTCGCGCGGTTTTAAAGTCTCAGGCCATGATGTCACGGCACGCCCGGGCATCTCCTCAGCTGTTGCGTGGCGGCATGCGCTCCCTCGGATTGTCTCACGCACCCCCTCAAATTGTCTCGCGCACCCCCTCAGCACACACCCCACTTTGGAGACCCCTGACTTAGATAGCCCAAGACAGGAGTGATGTGTATTAAGAATTAAACTGCTCAGCTCACAGCTTCTAGTCAAGCTTAATCATCCACACAGATTTTCAAAAATGATCTGTTTGCACATTGCATCTCGCCATGGTTTATAAGACCACAAGAAAAACAACCTCGCAGACTAGTGCGCAAATAATTTAAATTTTTTTTGGAAAAGACCGCTAAGGCTGCATTGGTGGTAGTGTTAGTGGGCGAGGGGATAAGACCCGTCCAAAATTCTTTAAATAAATCATTCATTGGCTCCTGAATTGTCAGTTTTGTTGGCCTGCAGAGAGGTACGGCCTAATTAAGAAATGTGTATATTCAAAATGCGTCTCAACATTTATCTAGCAGCCATAATATTTACACAAAGAACATTTGCCAAACCTAAGCTATGCGACTTTTCTTGCTAATCATTCAGGTGCAAATGTTAAAAGGCCCAAAGAACTGATTACTATTCACTCAAATCCCGTTATAGCTTTTCCTCTGTGTGCACCTTGTGAATTCACTATGTCACGCTTGTTGCTAACGGTGTCACATGTGATTTATGCACATTTATGTTGCAGAATTTTCTTTTCCGCTGCCTTTCTCTCTCATCCCCTCCAGCCAATCATGGCACTGAATCAGTAAATACAAGGCAAGAATGCAACCATCACTTTGGCTGGAAGCTCCCGGGCGCAGGGGTGATCGATCTCTAGACAACTTCATAACATAAAGAAGAAGGAGGAGGAGGAGGACACAGAAGTCAGTGGGCGGAGATAGGCTGGGCTGATTCTCATTTATACTACACCCTTGTAGGCTGATCTGGAAAATGGAAAAGGGCCATAAAGTCCTGCAAGTGTACTTTGAGCCCCCAGTGGAGCCTTGGGGCACGTGTACATGTAAAGCGCTGCAGCGGCACTGGGCGCACGGGCGCTTATTGGTTGCCAGACCAGAGAGCCCCGGCTCCGGGCTGTGGAGTCACAGCAGCCCCAGAGCCCGGCAATCTGCTGACAGATCCTGGGAGAGCCTGCAGTCCGTCAGCACAGGGGCCGACCTCCTCCGGTCCAGCAAACTCCCTCCTTCAGGGCTGGTCAGGGTGCCAGACCAGGGAGGTCCAACCAGTGCTGGCAGGGCAGGGCAGGGCAGGGCAGGGCAGGGCGTGTGTGTGTGTGTGTGTGTGTGTGTGTGTGTGTGTGTGTGTGTGTGTGTGTGTGTGTGTGTGTGACAGGGGACTAAAGTGTGTGTGTGTGTGTGTGTGTGTGTGTGTGTGTGAACACGTCAGGGTCCCTGGCATGCGTACGTGGCCTGCACTGAAGCTCACGCCGGTGTGTCGTCACTGCAATTCATATGCAGACCAGTGCGGGAGGAGGCTCAGTTGCCCTGTGGTGATGGCCACGCACTGGCAGATGCTGTAAGTCCTGCGATCTGCTACCACGCTGACAGAAGCAAGGTCAGTGCCTCGTCCATATCCCTGTTCTCCACCGGCACAGGGGACAAAGGAAAGGGCCCAGACCCTGAAGAAATCCGATGGGCGATGAGGTCTAACTCTCTCAAGAGCCTCTGAACAATCCCCTTCTTAAAGCCAGCATCTGGGCACTGGGGGTCAGTTTCCACTGATCAAATATCAGAGACCAAATTCAGGCCTGGGATTCTCGGTGTAATTTCTCCCGGGCAGTCACCAGAGCTGCCTCCTCTATAGCTGCCCACTTCCAACGAAATGAGCAAGGCAGCACACTGAAACCCTCACGCAACATCTAAGTAGCCGGAAGAGCTCATTGCTACAGGAACTCACTGGCGCGGTCTACACTGCAAGGCAAGTCCAGGGTTAGCAGAACTCGAGTTAGCAGCCCCCGAGGGCTTGAGCATCTACTCTCATTTGTTCCTGCAGGTTAGGAATTGTTGAACCCCGGGTCCCAACCTGGTTCCTCAGCATCTACACCACATGAGAGGGGTCAAAGTCCCACCACTGATATCCCAGGGTTTGCTAGTGCTCTCCCAAAATGAGGCCAATTTAGCCCTGTGTTCATGATGCAATGTGGGAAAACTTGACTGTCCACCAGAGGTGACTGTCCAGAAGATGAAGAAAGACAGTGTGAGAGACTGTAGCATACTTCTGGAGGACTCCCAGGTCATGAGTCCCATGGAGCTACATCTCTGCTGCAAAGCAACAGGACTTGAATACTGGTCCAGTCTTGAGTTAAGATGGAGCCCTTTATCTCCACAGAGTACTGTGACCCGGTGCGATTTGGGGTAGACAGACGGGGAACCGGAGCCTAAGTTTGAATCCGGCTCACATTGTAGTGTAGACGTGCCCGCTGAGGCCAAAAATTGAGCAAGATTCAAACCAGGACTGGATATTTAATAAGATGATCCAGAGTTGTCACAATTAAATACTAATAAAATTGGGAGGAGTAGGCTTATGCCCAGAATAGAACAGCGGTAAAAGTTGTTCAGTTCACAGTCAAAGTAAGAGTAGTTGAAAGCCACAGAAAGAATGTATATGAATCTGAAGAAATTTCTAGGGATGTTTGGATAACACTGTTGTAATGGTTCAAAGACTGCCAGCCCCATTCCAGTGTTAGACCCATTCCTTGACTCCCTCCACCCCAGTACCCTCCTTCCTTCCTCTCCCAATTCATGCATTTCTTCTGCTACTTTACTACTCTCCCCCTTCCCTAACTCATTACGCCTGCGTCGTATTTCCTGGCTGTGTGCTATCTGACCGTGCAGCTTTGTAAAATCGTGTCATGCCACTGGCGATCCCATGAAGCATGCGGTGTTTGGAAGCACGTGCAAGCTGCCCGTCAGTTAACATTTTGTCCTTTTCACTGTCTGTTTCTTTATGAACATCGAGACAAATTAATCACAAAGCAAACACTGAGGGGGAGCAGAGAAGGGACAACAAACATTTTGGAGGAAAGAGACAATATACCTGATACTTGAGGGTCTAGGCCAAAAATATTAAAAAAAACCCCACAAAACCAAAACCCCAAATGAAACCAAAAATGCAGCTGCCAGCCTCCGGATCCAGCCAGCTTCCCCAGGCTTGTGGGGCTCACCCCACTGGGCTGAAAGTAGCAGTGCAGACATCCCTGCTCAGGCTGGAGCCTGGGCTCTGAAACTCAGGGCAGGGGAAGATGTCAGAGCGCACAGCGCAAGCCCCGTGAGTGCAAGCCAGCCGACCAGCGCTCAAGGGCTCACTGTCACAGGGATGGGTGGGGGTGGGGGTTGCACGGTGGATGCAGTTAGAGAGCGACTGAGACAATGGGAGGGGCAGATTATCCCACATCTGCTACTGCAGAGGCCTCACTCCAGGGGTGTAGCCGGAATGGGACAGGTGAGTGCGCCCCAACTTTGCGTGGGTGGGCAACGAGTGGGGGCAGGGCAGCAGTAACGAGGCCGCCTCTCCCACTCTTCTAGCAAGCCTTGGAAGAGGGGGAGGGAGAGATGCTCTGGCCAGGGGCCCCCATGAAAAGGAGTGTCCGGCGCTCCCCCTCTCCTCCTGCTGGAAATGGGGGTTGGGGAAGGGACTTGCCCTGCTCCACTGCCTGGTGCTCCCATCAGGAAAGCGGGGCCAGGGCCTGGTGGCTCTGTCAGGACCACTGGGCAGCAGGAGCCGGGCGAGCCCCTGACCCTACTCCCCTGGCGCAGCTCAAGCACTAGGCAGGGGCAAGTCCCCACACTCTGGCAGGAGCAGAGGCAGGGCTGGGGGCGGGTGGGCCTGTATTCTAAGAGGGTGGGCGAGGCCCACTCATGGCTACCCCCCCGCCTTAACACCTTCCTCCGAACCAGCTGGTGCTAGCCACGGCCAGGGACAGAATACTCGGCTAGCTGGACCTCCTGTCTGATGCTTCCTATGTTCCTGTGTGCCCTAGGGCCGAATCTGGCCTACGGGTGGCAGACGGCAGGATGCAGAGGCCAGGCAGGATTAGGATTTCCATTCTCTCCTCCTCTCCCAAGGAAAACAAACCCCAAGCACAGCTCAAACTATCTAAATTTGCGCTAACACTACCGGGAGTCCTGCGGCACCTTAGAGATGAACAGACGCATTAGGGCCTAAGCTTTCATGAGTAAAACTCACTTCCTCAGATGGACTCCTCGTCGTTTTGGCAGAAACAGACTAACACGACTACCCCATGAGACTTTACGTCTACACAGGCAGGTACTGATTTCTGTAGGGAAGCAATATTCAGTGGCAAGCAAAACAGAGTGAGGGGCTACAGAGGTTTCACCTGTGTATTCTTCCTCCTCTTCCACCATCTCCGTCTGACTCTGGAAAACTGCTGCTTTGGAGGGCTCCATTTTAGTCGTTGAAACCTCTAGCATCCTTGATCGGGCGTGGTGGGGACTGGTCGCGTGGTAAGGGTGTTCAGCTGTTCCATATAAAATGAGACTCCATTTCTTTAACTTCCCTGCAATAGAGCCAAGAGTTGCAATAAACTAACACTGCCCCGTTCCAGAGCATCTTTCATTTCTCAAAGGACTTGACAAGCAAGGAGCAGTAAGTCTTCAGACATCTGCAGTGAGGGGGGCATAAGTCCACCCATTTCACAGATGGTGAAACTGAGGCACACAGAAGTAAAGCTAGTCTAGGGACACATGGGAAGATGGTAGTGGGAACGAGGACCAGAACTCAGAAGGTCTGACTCCCAGCAGAGCTGCCAGGAAATGACGCGCTTCTGGAACGTGTAAAGGTAGCCAGGAAAGCACAAGCAAGATCCTACAATACAAATCTTTACATGGATGGTCAGTAAAGCAAGAGCCCAGCCCCACCCCCAACTCTGCCCCTTCCACTGAGGCCCCGCCCCCCATGGGAGTCAAGCTGCCTCCCTGCCCCCCACCATGGGGAAGAGAGGAGGGCAAGTGGGCGCATGTATGCCCCAACCTCCATGGCCCCAGAGCACAGAGAGTGAGGCCCCAGCCTCCCTGGTCCTGGAGTACAGGAGGGCGAGCACTGGGGGCAGCAACACTCCCCCACCCCTCCGAACACCTACATTAGGCACTCTGGGGGCAGAGCGTGGGCAGGGCCACACTGGCAGTTTGGGAAGGAAAAGCCTATTATACCGGCCACTCATGAATCTTTACTAGACCACATTGCTTTTTGGACTACACTAAGGTAGCCATGGTTTCAGACAGCCATGGAATTTGTAATGCTTTTAACTCCTGTGTGAACTAACTGCAGTTTCACTAGCTTCTTAATAACTGAGCTCTGGAGAAAACCATTAACTCTACAAGCTATAATTTGAGATAAGGAGACTTATTTTGGTCTTCTCTCCAAAGACATGTTGAGATTATTTTTAGGGCTGTCTTCCAAACAAAGTTTTCTAAAGGAAGACATTTTTTTCCCTAATATGACTGATTTTTAAAAACAAGACTAAGCAAACAGCACTGTTGTCTTGTAAACAAGATGGTTTGAAGGAATCATAGATATAGTAGCCCAACGTCTGTGAGTCTGTAACGCTGCCGTAAACGGCCACGCCCCCTGGCCATGTACATCAGCGCCCTGCCCCCCTTCCCCTCCCTCCATGGTGGTTCAGCCGAGCGCTGCGTCGCTCAGCTGGGCCCAGTGGGAGTGCCACAGAGGGAGGGGAAGGGGGGTGGGGAGCCATGAAGGGAGGGAAAGGGGGGCGGAGCTGGCCGGGAGTGGGGCGGGAAGCAGAGCTGGGAGGGATCGGGGGCTGTGGGGCTGGAGGAGAGGATGGGGGGGTCAGGAGGAAGGGGGGAGGGAAGCAGTGCTGGCAGGGAGGTTGTCCAGGGGGCCCTGGG